CCTGTGTCTCCTTCATTGGCAAGCAGATTCTTCACAACTTAGCCACCAAGGAAGCCCCTTTGATTTACTATGTCTAAAACCAGTACACAAATCCTTTTCAGGGAGGTTTAACAGGAGATCAAGTGTTGCTTGATACAGCTGGCTTCGAATTGCCTTTTGGCATTTGCAGGATGCATGAATCATCTTGAATCTATCTTTGTTTCTTTAGGAGGGAGGGAGGGATTGAGGATAAAGTTTTAGGAATTACAGTCAACAGACATTCCTTCTTCACCTCTCGAAGGCTATCTACTCTTCTGTTCATCACTAGGGATTGTGGGTTAAAAAAGCAAAATCCTTTCCAGTCCTCCTGAAAATCAGGGTAAGATGAACAGGTATAAACTGCCAGGTGTTCAGCCTTTATTTGCACTTATAATAGAAAGTTTGTGGAGGTATAAATATTTTCTGTGGATTGAGGATTTATTATCCTTTGTATTCTCACAAGTTGGTTCAAGCACCAGAAGATTAAGCATCAAATGCTGTAATGTAGACCAGGAAACCCCAGCATGCTATTTGATACATTTTCATCCGGGATAGCAATTCTCAGAAAAAGGTTAAGAGAAACTCGGGCAGGGAGCGCCTCTTTGTGTAATGAAAATCTTTATAAACTTTTCTAGTTTATTTATTCCTAGATTTTCTTTTCCAATACCAACTTATTCTGTGACAATACTTCCAATATTCGAAAACTACTATTGTAGTTTTCAGAATAAACATCATTGGAAGGTTTAAAAAGTTTGCCAATTTACTCAGCCCTCATTGCCAAGCAAATGTATATATATAAATGGCCCTGAAAACCTGTCCCCAAACCACCATCAAGTCACTGAAGTTCAATATGTGAACATTAAGCCTCTGGTGTGCAAAACTCATGGTTCAAAAGTAAGTAGATATGTACTTATATTTACACTATGTCTTGATAGTGTGCACTATTAGTGAACAAATAGCAACTGATAAATGCATTTTGTCGGTTATTTGTTCACTAATATGCCATTTTATATACTCTGATTCTGCATATGTAAACATTTTATGGCTATGCTTTGTAAACAGAAATTGTACACCGCCTGTACAGGGGTTACATAAAGAATGTTACCAACTTAACATCATAAGCCAGGCTCATGTTTGCTCATTGAAGCTAAAGGTCTGGTATGTGCAAAACCCAGTCTGTTATGACTTTCAGCATTGCACTGGTCACTGTTTGTGCTGACCACAAGCTGGGAAATAAGAAATCAAATGTAGTAGTTTTCTTTAAAAAAACAATTGTCAGCTAGTAGGAACTGAACTGCCAGAAGGTATTTTATACTAATGACTGGAGTCAGAGTCACTATGTATATAAATTATTTTAATAATGGAGAAAAGAAAAATAACGTGGATACCATATTAGTACTAAACAATTCAGTAGCTTCATTAAAAAATTGCTTCTGTATTAAACAACAGTGGCTTCATCCAGCCAAGTACAATTTTTTTTTTTTTAACTTTTGCTGTGAGTCTCCTTTTAAGATACTAAGCCATAAAAGTATTATTTCAGGGAAAAAAAAACACAACGCTTTAAAGCTTCCTTTACTTAGATCTCCATTTCTAATTACATTTTTACATCTACATTCTGTGTGGGTCCATATGATTTCAAGAGCATGTTAACTCAAGTTCATGGAGGCAAAAAATTAAATTCTAAAAAAACCCAAGGAAGATGCACAACACATGTATGTAATCAGAAGGCAGCAAAAAATTGAAGGTGTCTAATCTTTAACAACTATTTTGAATTTTGACCCTTTTGTTACATTGATACTTGGATTAAAAATGAAGGACGCTGGTTACTTATCATACACAGTACTCACAAAATTGACTTCTTTTGGTCCAGAACTACTTAAAAGTATTCAAGGCCAGAATATGAAAAACCTATGCAGCCAATATTAAATTTTAGAGGTATTACATATGGAAATTTACAACATGGCTTTTTAAGTATGAATTTCAGAGTAAAAAAATTCTTAACAGATTTGGTTTTAAAGTAAAAAGACAGCTAATAAAATCAGTTATCAAGCAAAGTGATAGGAAAACTTTTTTAAAATACATGAAATAAAAGACTTAAATAATCTAAAAAAAGCAAAATATAATTGAAATAAAATGATTATGTAATAGACTGAATGAGAGGATAAATAAAACAATAGGAAGGACTAAGGTAATATCTACTTATAGTTTATATACTGTAAGACAACTAAAGTGTGTAAAACATGTTGAAGTTCACGAATCTCTTTATGAGTAATCAATACACTTCCCTAATACTCATCCTGTGACCTACGACATGATAGTAAATTAGAGATCACAAAGATGAAGCCATTAATGTTTTTGTCAATATGCATTTTGACCTGCATGACAGACTAAATCAAATGTTCATGATTATTAGTTTTCTTTCTTTGACTTGAAAGCTCCAAGTTATTTAATAATGTATTTTTAACATGTGCTTTTTCCTTTTAATGCTTACTCTAACAATATGCTAGAGGTCTGGACAGTGACCAGATCCTAGAGATCTGGAAGGTGAAAAAGCCATTACCACCTGCTGACCACTGACCCCACTGGCATAGATATTTAGTGGTTTTTTTCTTTCTCTTCTAAGCAGTTATTAATATTCCAGAAATTTCAGGTGCCCTGTTATTGTATGAAACAATTACCCTTGAATTTATCAAGGGGAAAAAAAACTTAGACATCTGGTTATGTTATAAACCCAGAGTTGTTTGTTTAGGAAACATGAGTATATGGAAGACTATTAATTTTAATTTATTTTATATTAAGATATGTGAAAGTAAAATAAAGCTTTTGTTTGTTTTGAAACGTTAAAGACTTGGTTGGTTTTGATCTGCATTAAATCTTACTTTTTTTTAATCAAAAGAAACGATTATGTGCTTCCTGGAAATTATTTTAAGATTATACTTTAAATAAAACCTTGACAAAACAAAAGTTAATTTTAAAATTACCTTTTAAAGCTTTTGCTTTTTGGTCAAAAAGTCTGAATCTCCTGAAATTGACTAAGATTAAACATTTAGTTTTATAAATGATAGTTGTAAAACATACTATAGTTAAGAGGATAATAAAACATTAGAATCAAACTTTATAAGCATTCCCCACACCTGTGTCATTGGAAAAGTCATCAGTGGCTGACTTTAATCAATGTCATCAGATTTTAAATACTGATAAATCAATACAATTTGATATATGTCTCATTAAGTTTTACAGAATCAAATACCACAAAACAAATGCCACTTAAAACTTGGAAGTCTAACCACAAAATAACATTTCCTTTAGAATTGAATTTTTTTGTTGTAAATCTCTAAAAGTTGAGAAAGATGAAGTTAAATTTTTCTATCACTTGTAAATCTGTGATATGTAAAATTAATAACAAGGATTTAATTGTTGTGGACTACCAACACCAGCTGTTAAAAATAAAACAAAATCCCAAGGGTAATGTTTATAGGCTTAGTATTACAGTTCAAATTTATGAAAATGGAGGGATGGTTGTTAAATCTATTTTGGGTTAGTTGATCTTAAACATAATTTTTCAAAACAGTTGAAGATGTGCTAATTTAGATAAAATATTTTCACACTATCACTTTATGATATTGATAATTGATTTTCCAAATTCACTTTAAAGACTTCTAGCTAAGAAATATAATCATAAATCTACCAAAAACTGACCCCCCCGAAGTCTAAGAAATCTGTATTTCTTAAGTTTAATTTTTACCTTTTTAAAATTGAGATGATCTATTATTCCAATAGCCTAATTCTTTGGTATGCTATTTGTAGTTATTTTAAAACTTAAGTATTCTGTACATAGCTAAGGAATTAAAACATTGCAAACTTTCATTATATTATTTAACAGCTTTTGTTTTTAAAATCACTATGATTGGTTATTAGGAGTTGATTTCTGAAACCAGGTAACTTACATTTTTCCATAGAGTTGAAGTGTATTATTCTATTAATTATCCTAGATATTTCCTACATATTTAGTTCTTATCTGCATACTACTACAGGAAAATATCCTATTTTGCTATGTATTTTTTTTAAAAAGATCTTTAATTGTCTAGCACTTCATACTTCATATAGATTAAAATTAAACTGAGCCCATACCATCTACCCAAAACTAGATTAAGTAGAACATTTTCTCTTTTATTACTGTATTCAATAAACAACTAATTTAAGGTTAAGGGCTTTTGAAAATCATTTAAGTTGAATAAATGGGTAAGAAACGCATACACATTATTTTTGGATATATTTAACTTATAAAATGAAGTGGTACATAACTACAGGAACTGGAATATAATTCTGATTAAAACAGAACTATATAAGCTAGTAAGGAACTGAAAATGTTAGGATGTACTAGACAGTTCAGCTGCAGAAAGGGTTGTTCTTACATATTCTCAATTACTTTTAGAGGTACAGCTCCTAACAAAGTGGGTGGAGATTTTCTTAAGAGAAAGCAATAAACTCCTTCCATGTACTTTATTCCCTTTCATAACTCTGATGCTGTTGCTCAAGTGAACCTATATATACCAACATAGAAATGAAAAGTAACAATACATGCTTAACAAATGTTTCATCATTGTTAATGGATATGATTATTTCATTAGTTTGAAGACAAAAAATACATTGGGTCTATATGATTTTTTTAATGAAAATCCTTCCCCTGAAAGGATGAATAAAAAATCCCTGGAAAATGCACTGGTCTGTACTCTCCTTTCAGTGCAGACTACATTGTAAAAACAAAATCTCTCTTAGAGAACTAGTTGTGAGTTAGTGGCTATCCCTAAAGATATTGAGCTCTCAATTTTTACTACTTAAGGAAAGTCAGTGTTAATTCTTAATATAAAGATGTAGTTTTGGGGAAAACTGAGCTGCTCAAAATTTTAGCATAGGTCAATCTAGTTAATTGGCATTAAGAATACAAGTGCCCATGCATTCTCTGTTTCTTTTCTTTGTAGGTTGAACAGTCTGCCTCCCATACTGAAAGTTTCAAGCTTTTGGACAGAACTGAACAGTGTGAACAAGTCTGGTGATGAAGCTTGGACTAAATTCTTAAAGTATCTTAGTTTCACAGTCCCTCGTCCCATATAACTTATATATGAAGCACCAAAACTGGAGCCAAGGTCTGAACAGGTTATATAACAGCAAGAACTATAATTTAATCACATCATATCAGATTACACTATGTAACATTCTGTATTTTGCCTGTTGATATGTAACAGTTTATTACAAGCATTATTTCCTAAGACTTATGTGGTATAAGTGCTTCTTTCAAGTATTACCACTTATAGTGTTTGTATGTTAACAGTGAGTCACTGATAAATGTATATAATGCAGTACACACTGTGCCATGTCTCCCTACCCTGTGTTAACATGTTAACAAAATGAACTAAGAAAACAAAAACGATTAAAACTAAAGACAAAGGCTATCAACATCACAGATGCACGTCTAAGTCAACAGCATATCCCCCTTAACATGAAGGTATTTTCATCAAAAATGCTTCATCGTTTTTAGGCTAGCATTACTTTAGCAGCAGCTGGTCTTCAGGACAAGTAGATCAGAAGTTTCAAGTGCAAAAGACACTGAATTACTCTGAGAAACATCCATCCGCATGACTAATGAAACGAAGCAAACTGCTGGTGTCACCTTAACATAAAATTGTGCACTTTCCCCTTCAGTGTGTGTTAGTTCATTTTATATGATGATAAAGTTTTGGAGTTCTCATGGCACACAACTGAGATGGAGTAGTTTGTCAAGGAACCTATTTGTTTTAATGTTTAAATTATAACAACACAGTGACTACAAAAGGTCAGTGCCTGGTGGCTTTAAACCACATCAGTTTCAATGTTTTTAAAAACAATGATGCAATTAAATCTATGCTTCTGCAACAATAGTGCAATACAGTATCCTTTCCTGAATAAAGGAGCTGAGGTTTATCCAAGTAGAAGCTTTAAATAAGGTAGATTGTTGCCAACTACTTATCAGTCTTGCATGTTTGACATAAAATAGATTAGGAAAGCTTAAACTGACTTGTTAATCTATATTGAGCTAAAGCTTCACATAAGCAGCAATGGAAATGAACATAGGTGCACTCAATATAAAACACTTTTCAAAACTACTCCAAAAAATAAATGACAGAAAGTGGTTAAGAGCAACTAAACATCTGTTGTGTGTACCAGACGTAAAAGAAGAACGGACTCTGTGGTTACTTGCACTATTTGAATTAGGTGAAGGTAAAGGTAAGACTTAGTCCACTTCCATCTCTGCAGAAGATTTAGTCTGCTGTGAGTTGTCTTTTGTTGAATCTGGTTTGGCTTCAGTCCCACTCTGTCCATCCATTGGTCCGTTGTGCTCACTGTTATCTTCTGCGTTGTCTTCAGCAACCTCTACTTTCGGTTTGGGCTTATAAATGATGGGGTTACAGAAATTATCTAGTTCCTAAAGACATGAAGAAAATTGATTATATTAAAAACATTATGTAACAAGTTACCACTAACTTTCTGAAGTCCACATATACTTTCTAAATTTCCACATAATTCCACATTACTGAATAGCTGTTAGCTCAGCGAGATAACCAACTCTTTTTTTTTTTTTCAACTAATTCTTAAAATACCTTAATGAATTATTTACCTTCTTGGCTAGTGTATGTCAGTGGTTTAGGAAACTATTCAGTCTTTAATATAATAATACATTCTGTATTTAATTGTTACTAAATTTCTTCCTCATAATTTATTTTGGCAGGAATAATCTTTATATATTTATTTACTTAGGCCATGACACATGGCATTCAGAACCCCTCCAACTCGGGTCCTTGGCAGTGAGAGCATAGTTCTAACCACTGGAATGCCAGGGAATTCCTAGGAATAATTTTTAATTCATTCCTTTAAATTATGTCTAAAGCTCTTTTATGAGAATTATGTCACATAGCACCTATTTCACAATTTAAAATTTCTCAGAATTGCCTGAAAACTATTTTAATAAATGGAATTAGATAAATGTATACACTAACTTTACTTTTGGAAAACTAGCTTTTTTGTCAAAGGAAAAATAAGCCATGGAAGTAAATTCAACTTAATGATAATTTCAAAGATACTATTTTCTATATCCTTGGTTTTTCTGCACAGAAATAAAAGACCATTTCAATAATGCTACTGAAACACTTTAAATTCTTTCAAGACCAGTGTCACAGAAATTGGGTGGGATGGGAAAATAGGAGGTAACATCCTGGGGGAATGTTTTAGTGGCAAACTGTTCTTGTCACACTCTGCCTCTCACCTGATTAGGAGTAAATTATAATAGATTCTTTGTAAAACTTTCTCAAAAAAGAAAATACTCTTAACTGCTTTATTATTTAAAAAAAAAAAAAATACCAGTTTGGCACAAAAGTTGCTCGACGTGATCACTAATCATCAGAAAAATGCAAATCAAAATCACAATGATATGTCTCATACCTGTCAGAATGACTTTCATCAAAAAGAACACAAATAACATTTTGGTAAGGATATGGAGAAAAGGGAACTCTACGTACATTTCTGGTGGAAATGTAAATTGGTATAGCCATTATAGAAAACAGCATGGAGGGTCCTAAAAAAAGCTAAAAGTTGAATTACTATATGATCAATCCAGCAATTCTACTCCTCAGTATCCAGAAAGAAATGAAAATACTAATTTGAAAACATACATGCACACCAGTGTTCTAGCAGCATTATTTACAATAGCCAACATGTGGAAGCAACCTAAGTGTCCACGAACAGATGAGTGGACAAAGATGTAGCATGTGTATACAATGGAATAAAAAGAATGAAGGATGAAAATTTGCTCTCTGCAGCAACATTGATGTTACTAGAGGGTATTGTGCTTACAGAGAGACAAATACTATATCTTATTACTTACATGTGTAATCTAACAGCAACAGAAAAAAAGACAGATACAGAGAATAAACTAGAGGTTACCAGTGGGGATAGGTTAAGTGAGGGGCAAGATAAGGGTATAGGATTAAGAGATACAAACTAATATGTATAAAAGAAAGAAGCTACAAGGATATATGGTATAATGGAATATAGCCAATATTTTAGAATAAATGAAGTAAAATCTGTAAAAATATTGAATCACTATGTATACAACTTATAATCCTGTCAATCAAATATACGTCAATTAAAAAAAACCCAAACCTGTTTTTGTTTTTAAAATGAATCAAATACCTATGAGCATACTGAACCAAATTTTAAAAAATCACCTGATATTCCATCTCCTCTGGTGGTAGTGGTGTAGTTGCTAAACTGTGTCTGACTTGCTACCCCATGGACTGTAGCCTGCTAGGCTCCTCTGTCCGTGGGATTTTTCAGGCAATGGAGTGGTTTAACTTTTCCTTCTCCAGGGGATTTTCCCAACCTAGCAATCGAACCCTGGTCTCTTGCACTGCAGGCAGATTCTTTACCCACTAAGCTACCATCTCCTCTAGATTAACATTATTAGCCTTTTGGTGAACATTCTTCTAGATATACGTCCATGCACACATATATCCAAACATACAAGTCTTAATGAAGATGCTAATTTATAGTCCAATAACTTTAGATTCTGTAATCCTTTTTCATGCATCATGTATAAATCTCTATATCTCAACAGATTTACTGGGCATCCCTGATGGTCTAATAGCTAAGAATCCATTTGCCAATGCAGGGGACACGTCAGGTTCGATCCCTGGTCCGGAAGGATCCCACAGCTGCGAAGCATCTAAGCCTGTGTGCCAGGAGTATTGAGCCTGTGTTCTAGAGCCCACAAGCCACAACCTAAGCCCGAACACTACACCTACTGAAGCCTGTGCGCTGCACAAGAGAAGCCATTGCAATGAGAAGCCCACACACCATAACAAGGGTTGCCCCTGCTCACCCCAACTAGAGAAAAGCCCATGCACAGCAACAAAGACCCAATGCAGCCAAAATTAAATCTGCAAAAAAATACATTTATCTCTATTATCTTAAATACTGTGTTTAACTATTGTGTTGTATATGCATCAGTTTATCTAATTTCTTATTGGTAGGTATTTAGGTTGCTGCCAGTTTTTTGCTATCATAAGCAGGGGTTTATATACTTATGCAACAGTCAAATTAAGATGAATTCCTCGAATTGTTATTTCTGCATTAAAGGTAAACTCATTTTAAATGTCTATACATATTCTGAAATGATGTTCCAGAAAGAAGCAGTGACAAATGTAACCAAATTGCTCAGGGAAAGGCATCCGTTTCGTCACATCCTGGCAGTTACCGCAAAGACTGAATGTGAACAACCAACCAATCAGAGAAGAGAGATTTGCATTTCTTAGTAATGAAGATGAATATCTTTTCTTATGTTTATTAGACATGTATTTCTTTGTCAGCTCTTTTTTCAATGTCTTATTTTTCTATTTAGATGCTGATCTTTATTATAAAGTTTATCCCCATGTTTTTCATGGTGTTTTCTATAACTTTTGACATTTTCAGTAGTAACAGTTTTTAAAATGGAAAGTTTATCTCGGAAGTAAGATTTTACCATGAACTTTTATACATTTCAAACTGTCAAAAACAAGTATATACTGCGGTTTTAGAATGGAGATTCAAAAGTATTATCTAGCCTAGAAAAATCAGACATAATTTATAGTTGTCGCATTGTTTTGTTTTATTGATTTTACACTTAAAATCTAAAAGCTGTTTTGTGTGTAAGACTAATTAAATCAAGAAACATGATCCACCTAGGATCTTTTTTCCCCCCAAAATTAAAGATTAGCCTCAAATTCCTATTTCTCTCTGTTTTTCTGTAAGTTGATTACTTCTCAGAGTATGGCTCCCATTAAAAAATTTTAGTGACTGAGGCCATTAAAAACAGAAGTTTATAGTTTCTTACCTTTGACTTTGCAACTATTTCTGAAACTTTCACCACAGGATCTTGAGTGAGACTTAGTTTGTTCTGTGCGTTCATCTTACTGTTCAGCCAACTCATGGCTTCACTAATATATTTTTCAACCTTTTCAATTTCAGCAGGATCCAAATGATCGTATCTTTCATCCTATTAGGGGAAAAAAAATGAGAGGTTTTTCAGTAAGCACCAATTTATTGATAATTTCTGCTTAAAAGATTTAGACTCTTATTGAGTGTATATCACACACATACTCGTGAAGAAGCTATTTACAAATTACATAGAACTGAAGAAACTGGGAGAAAGAAAAATCAGTATGCCTTTTTAAGAGGAAGGGCCTTCTGAAGAAGTCAGGT